GCTGAAGTCCATGCATCTTAAAGTGGCCCAGGCTGAGAAGCAGTGACACCTACGGTGTACACCATCTTGATCTCTTGAACAAAAAAATGGGGTGTAAATCAGCAGAACCAAGGTGAGAAGATTGAGATTCAAGTCTCCCCTCCATCATGGAGTTCACTGGTGTGTTACAGAACTTTCCTGGGTTACCAACATAAGCTTGGCTGAATCAGGACACGGATGAGAGACTACCAAGGTAAACCAGGATAGATTAGGAAGTCCAAAAACGTATTTGGAAAAGGACGTGGCAAACCCTTTGGAGTCGCCGGAAAACAGCACGGCTGTGTTCACATGGGGACCAGGATCTGAGCTGAGCTCATCTTAGAAACGAGCATCTACAGAAATTGGGAAGCATAGAAAAACTTGGGATGTGAAGACCACACAGCTCACAGTTGCAAAGCTTTGTGGTAACTCCTAAGCCGCACACATACGAATCTTGTAGCCAAAGCCACACACAACACTGGCTTCCTCTTCAACCAGTCATCTGAGAGCAAGAAATACAGAAACTTCAATTCTACAGATTTAAAATGAAAAGGAACAACCATGGGCCTGCATGGAAAAAAAAAAAATAACCAGGGCTCAAACGTTAAGGCTCTTTCGGCCATCCCTTGCTTTCTCCAGACCAGTCACTCCCTCCAAGGACATAACCACATACTTCTACTCCGTCTAAAATGTGTTTTATCTGCTTCCCCCCCCCCATCTTGGGTAATCAGTAACCCTGTATCCTGCAAGTCCACCACTTTCTCAGCAATCATAAACGTTTCTGAAGGTGGCTTTAAACACTCAAAGAGCTGGTGTGACTCAACACGAAAACAGAAAGAGAGAGGAGAGCAAAATCAGGAAGAAATAAAGACTCAGCCTCCAAGGAGGGGGGGAGGGCAAAACCTTCTAGGTCAAGCGCCGCAACTTGTACTTTGGAGTTGTCAGGAAGTGCAACACCAGGAGATGGTGAGTTCTAGTCCTGCTTTAGGCAGGGAAGCTGGCTGAGGGACTTTGGGCCAATCACCAGGAGACGGTGAGTTCTAATCCCGCCTTAGCCATCAAAGCAGTTGGGCCAATCACTGGGAGACGGAGAGTTCTAGTCCCGCCTTAGACACAAAAGCCAGCAAGGTGACTGGCCAACTCCTCTCTCTCTCATCCCAACACACCTCACAGGGCCGTTGTGGGAAAAAGAGGAGAAGGAGGAAGGAGTAGCAGCTATGTTTAAGTTATAGGTGGGAGGAGAAAAAGTCAAATTTAACCCCCCCCCCCAAAAAAACCCCCTCACATGCCAGCCTCTCTTAATCCAGAATCTGGATTGTCGGTTTGGCCAGAAGAAGAGCCGTGTTCTGTCAGCATGTTGCAATCACCGTCACCCGGAGCCTAACTTGAACGCGGCTCAGCAGAAAGGAACAAAGAGGAACCGGCTGAATCAGCAGAATCCTTCAGACCCCTCTTCTCGCCAGCCAATCTGCGTCACTCTTTTCCCATGGTTGGCTTGTTCTGAAAGAAGCTGAGATTGCGTTCCACTTCACCCCCCTTCTCAGCCTTCACAAAGCCGTTTGTTCCTGAAAACGGGCCATTGAGCTCCAGCACAGCAGAAAAAAAACCACAACGTGGGTCAATTTCTCCAATATTATCCTTGTGCCAAGGTCACTTCTTAGGCCAGGGCTCTTCAAACTTGGCCCTTTGATGACTTGTGGACTTCAACTCCCAGAATTCCTCAGCCAGGCACGGAATTCTGGGAGTTGAAGTCCACCAGTCATCAAAGGGCCAAGTTTGAAGACCCCTGTCTTAGGCCGTAAAAGCGCAGATTTAGGTTATGATAGCAAAAACCCACCTCCTCTTTTTCCAAGAATTCCCGGACATCTGGGTCCTGCAGCATGGTGGGGTGGCTTACGGTTCTTTGAATATATCTGTGGAATTGGAATAAGGAAGTTTAGTGTACTTTGCTGAAGAATCCCTCACTTTAAAAGAGAATTACAAGGCATGCTTATATTTGGACACCATCCATGGATTAGAGGAGGCATAACCACACAGGTACATCCTGCTACTAATACTGGGGACAGGGATGGGAGAATAACTAAAAAAACATAACTCTAATGGCTGATTCCACTCCACCATGGAATTCACTGGGTGATTTTTGGCTTGTTACAGACTTTCTTGGGCTAGAACAGGGGTCCTCAACCTCCAGTACGTGGACCAGTACTGGGCTGCAGCATGCCAGCAAGCAAAGCCAAGCCCCACCCGCAGGTTGCAGGCAGGACACAAAACCACGCACTCTCTGTCCACGGAAAAAACTCTCTCCACGGAACCGGTCCCTGGTGCCCAAAAGGTTGGGGACCTCTGGGCTAGAAAGCTAAACTGGGCTTGGGATGGGCGACTACCGAGGAATGCCAGAATAGGCTGGGAAGTTCACAAACATTTTGCGTAAAGGAGATGGCATAAATCGTTTGCTGCTGCTTGAAAACAGAATGGCTGTGTCCACCAGGAACTGAGCTATCTTAAGGGAGGCGTTACGCATCCCTTGAAACTGGAAGCATTGGGAGAAAAAAACCAGAAGAAAAACTGGGGTTCTCCGGGCGGCTTCCCCTTCTCACTTCCATATGCAGGGGAGAGATCTGAAGCAATTTCCACCTGGGTGAACTTCATCGGCCTTAGCTTCTCCTGGAATCCATTCCAGCCAAGAGGATCAGATTTCAGGAAAACGCAGCCCAGGTTCCAGAGAACAATTTCCATCAACTGTTCACAGGAACAGCCCTATTGAACAAATCTCTGAAGAACGTTGGAAGGACATGTTCTCCTGCGATCAATTCCAGACGGGTTGAAAGGTGGATGAGATCCTTCACAGGTTGACACCTGAGGACCCCCAGTGGCAAATAACTAGGGACTTTTGAGATGCAGTGGGTATTTGTTCCTCTTGATCACAACCACGGTAGGTGAGCCCTTGAGTTTACTTCCTGCCAGGCAAATTCCCCTACCCGGAGTAACAAATCAACCACACCACCTTGTGGCTTTACCAAGCTGCAACAGCCACCAACGAGACACGGAAACACCAACCTTTCTAAGGCAGCTCTTCTTTTCTCCAAGAATTCTGTGGAGGAAGAATCTTCTTTTCCAACTTTGAGTTTGGTCATTCCTGGGACAAGAGAAAAGAAAAACAAGGGCAGACGTTATCTGCATGGTGCATATAACCAGGGGTGCAATTTAGATGTCTCCTGAACGGCTCAGAGAACTTTGTAACACCTACTGGTGTCATCTGTGTACTGATGGTCCTTAAGTTACTCTGGTGAATGATAGGCCGTTGTGTTGAACTTGGGGAGATATAATAAAACCCTGCTGGCCTTCTCACCTATTAAACTCTTCTCTGGAGGCGGAGGAACGATGATTCCGAGCTGCGCGTGTTTCTCCAACAGCTTCTCATATAAGCCCAAAAAGTCACTGAATCGTCTCTTCACAGAGAACTGCTGGTTCCTAAACATTGGCAGAGTGGTCTGAGGGACAGGAAGAATCAGGTTAGCAAAACAAGTCTTTTTATATATATAAAAGCACGAAGCCGAAAAACACCAGCCTGAAGATGACGAATGAGACTTCGTCGAAACGTCACCAAGACACTTCCAATTTGACGTGGGAGAAAACCCGAATAACCAAAGACCTACATACATATACATATACATACATACATATATATGTCTTTGGTTATTCGGATTTTCTCCCGTGTCAAATTGGAAGTGTCTTGGCGATGTTTTGACGAAACGTTTTATAAAGGTAATAGAGGGATAGGGTAAAAAAGGATAAGACAATGGGAAACATACAAAAAGGTTAGACCAGGGGAAAGAGGTAACACCAAAGTGGGATTAATCCCACAAAATAACATCGCTTCAGCAAGTCTACCAGTCCGGGTTTACAAATTAAATCTTAATAATTACTCTATTATTAAACAACTTTCCATTTAATCATGTAAATAACAAATTAGTCAATAAATCTCATTCATTTCACTACTTAACAATGCTTAGTATCAATTATAATCACTTTAAAATAATAATATATTACATATTAATTATAGTTTACCATATTATTTAAGATCACAAATATACAAAGAGGAAGAAGAAGAAGAAATAAGAACAAGTTCATACAAATAATCATGGAATATAAATACAAATTATCAATTATCTCTTTAAATTTCATAACCTTTTCTCATTCTAGTGTGTTTCTAACCGATAATAAAATTTTCCCCATGTTTTAAAGTAAATTGTGTCTTCTTTCTCTTTCATTTCTAAAGTCAATCTATCCATTTCTGCACATTCGTTTTTGTTATTATAAGCCTGGTCAGATGGTAAATTTTCATTTTTCCAAAATTGGGCAAATATTATTCTTGCAGCTGTCAAAAACAGGAGTCTTGATACAACTGAGACTGCATTCTCAAATATCTGAAGGCATTTCACACAAAAGGGAGTAGATTTATTCTCTAGGGCTCCAGAGGAAAGGACCAAAGAAAAAAAAATTAAAAAAAATTCACAGCTATTCGGAAGAGCTTCAACCTGGCTGAGCACCTGCCAGAAATACCTGAGCGCAGCAGGAGCCCAACTTTATGATGTGTGGGATTTCAACTCCCAGAATCCCCCAGCCGGCATGTTGCTCAAGTTGAGAAACATTGCTTTAGTAAATGTTGCTATGGACAGGTGATTAGACCGGCTGGCTTTTACGCAACAGGTTAACTCACAGACACAAAGACAGGGATACACACCTGGACTGAAAAACCTGAACTGTGTGTACTTTAAAGTCTGCCTTTCTACCCAGGCTCCCTTAAGACTTCAAAAACAGAGGAAGAAATAATCAGGAAAATATTGGAATGTGCAGAGATGGACAGATTAACTATGAGGTTGAAAAACAAAGAAGATGCAGACTACTATCAAATTTGGAACTTATTTTATTCTTGGCTAGAGAAAAGAATGAAGGATTAGGAATTGAACATGTATTAGCAGAGCAAACTCCAGACAACTTGTTGATTGGAAAAATTAACATATGTTGAGGGGAAAAAAAAACCAATAACATTTTTATATATGTAAAAAAAAGACTTCAAAAACAAAAGACAGCCTACAAACTTTTCAGAAACGACATTCAGGATTGTGCGGAACATGCAACTCGGTTATTGACAAGCAAGACATGATTAAATTGTTGCCCCATATTTTTCATTCTCTCTCCCAAGGAAGCAAGCACCTAATACTCCTGGCCTCTTCCTCTCTCCCCCCCCCCCACAACAACCCTGTAGAGTGGACTGGGAAGAAAGAGAAGGACTGGCTCAAAGTACAACTTGATGCAGTTAATCTTTTTTTTTTTAAAAGGACACGCAAACAGTGCTAGCGATGAAGCTGCTGCGTTCTTGAAGAAACCAAACACAGCCAGGATAAAAAGAGGCTTTTGTGTAGCCAAGCACCACGTCAACTGCCTTTCGGCAAGACTGGACATCTCCTTTCAGAATGTAGCTAGCCGTGAAGCGCGGAAGAGGATTTTGACGCACAGCTTAAGGACAAGCTGACCCAGTTATGCGGCTAGTTGGAAGGTGCACCAGGTATTTCCGCCAGTTGGCAAAAGGCAATAAATCGGAAGCCAAAGCCAAAGACACGGCAAATTAATGAAAGGAAGGTGTAATGGAGGGAAACCAGCCCTTTATGTGGTTAGTTGGAAGGACTGGTATCAAATGCACCGGGCGCTTTTGAGATGCGATTGTGAGAAAAAAAACCAAACAGATCTTGGCACTCAATAAGAAACTTGGGCTTGGCTAGGAAAATTAATGCTTTACTTTAAGGTTCATTCCCGAGTTCAATTCATTTTATTGTGGGAGGAGGAATGGCATCTTTGCTATCTCCAAAATTCTTCAAGCACTGTGACATTTATTGCTGCAAATTTAGAAAACAACAGCAGTTTGTTTTTGCTTTTTTTTTGGTACTACACGGAGGATCTCCTGCTGCCTGGGCTTGAGGACTGGAGCGCTAGAATTGCTTCTGTAAGTATTTTAAAATATTATTATTTTTTTGTTACTCTACACTACTGTACTGCTGGTAAGCACTTTGGGAACTGTTCAGGTCTGGCACTGCCGAGAGAGCAATGTCACAGGTAAAAGTATACACACACACACACAGTTAATGACAATAAATGGGACTAGAATTTCTCTTGCTAGGTGATGCAGTTGTGATGTGCTAAGTCATGTGAAGGCGCCGCTTAACAACAGCAACCCCGGCAGCCTCTACTGCCATCATTAACCAAATCCACCTGTCATTAGGCAAGGCCCCTCTTGGATCGAAGCCATTTCTGGCTTGGTCCCTGCCAGATCTGAGCCAATGTAAGGTGAGGAACTGCCTCCTGTTAAACTCACCCCACCTGTCTAATTCTCCCCCCACTCCCCCATCTCTGCTTTTTGGCATCAAAATAGGTAGGCTTAATGCACCTATTATACAGGGAAATCTTTTGATTTCCCAGGAGCCGAAAACTCTCCTCGTCTGACGTTTAGGAACTGGGGAAAAATAAAAGAATCAAACAAAGCTTCCCAGCCCTAAAACAGGTGCAGATGATCTACACCCCCCACCCCTCCTTCTTGAAGCGTTTCATCGGGGAGGCTTTCCAAAGTCTCCATTCAAATTTACAGAGGAAGAAGAGGAGAAGGAAATGAACAGATGAGGTTATGGTCTCAACCGAATGCTGTTGTTTGAGCTGTCCATGGGATGGCTTTGCTAAGAGACCATCACAAACAACCCGTGTCTTCAGAGAACACGCCTGGCGCCTTTTCAAAAGGGAAAGACGAGACTGCTCCTTCTCCGAGCACCATGAAGTCCTGAAGACAAAGCCTCAACACATATAACCACCCACACATAGACAGGAAATGACCGGAAAGATGAACCCACATGGAGTTTTTGGACAGGCGGTGCGTGAAGTTCATTTAGAAGACAGTTGCCTAGCAAAGTGTCAACGCTGCTAACATCGGATGTTTTTGCTTTGACAACAGTTGGATATGCAGCCATTTTCCTTCTTATGTTTTACTCTTAGAATTAGAATTGGAATTAGATGATACTGGGGGGGGGGGAGAAGGAATGTGCACGGGAGTTTAGTTAGACATAACAATACTGGATCTAGTGTGTGAACCAAGGTTATTGAAATAAGAGATGATAAGAATTGGCCGGGCTGGAGAGCTGGAGGGAAAGCCTGCATTTCAAACTAATTGGAGAATGTGATTTATGACTGTTAATTGGAGGAGGGAATTGTGCTTTGATACTATGGGCTCAGGGGAGGGGAATTCAGTTTTTGGCTTCGATTCTGTAGTGCCTGATGTTATGCTACTCAAAACAAAGATTCTTTAAGAGAAAACAATGCCTGGAAGTTCTTTTGAAGAGTTTCATCTGTCAGAACACAAAGCTTAAACGCTTGGTGACATCATGGGGCCATCACCGTCGTCGTTTTAAAGAGATACAGTAGTTCGTATGGAGATAACTTGCAAGAACTGGCTGGAATTAAAGGAGTGAGAGACCCTCTGGATTTTTCACCAAGATCTCTACATTCACCTTCTGCAACCTCGGAGAGGACTTCAGCTTCCATAGTTCCTCAGATCATTTGATGTCTTGGAAGTTCATATATATCCCATCAGACTGTTTTTTGCATTTTCTCCACCTCCTACAATTCTAAAGTAGCCACTGCCTAGCCTAAAATATCTTAGAAGGCCAGCTGTGACGATTTTTGCATTGTGGATTCTATAACTGCATAAAATGGCAGGATGCTTTTTACGCAGGCATCCCAGACATTGTCACAGTAAACCCTAATCTTCAAAACTTTCCAAACTCATCCTTACACAATGGCAATACAACTTTAAGAATCAGTGCCCAGATCCACGTGTGTATCTCTCCCCCCTTTTGTTGCTTTTAGATTATAAAACTGGGTGCCAGGACATCCCTGGTTTTGGAAACAATCACACAGAATCTGAATAATAATCAGGTTCTCTGCTATAAATCAGCTTTTCCTTGTAGTTTGAATTCGGGGGTGGAAGTAGGGAAGAGTATAATTAGAACAGTGAACAACCCCTTCATATTTCCTTCCTCCTATAAATTGCAAGGTTCATATTGTTGGAAGAACACGAAATCTAAATTCAAAAGGAAAAAGGACATAAAAGAATTACTCTTCCTTAAATCAGTGTTTCCCAATCTTGGAAATCTCCAGGATGTGGACTTCAATTCCCAGAATTCTCATCAATGGTTATGCTGGCGGTTGAATTCTGGGAGTCGAAGGCCACACTCCAGAAATTCCCAAGATTAGAAAACCCAGACTTAAGTGGACCTGATGCCTTGGCAGTAATGGGGAAAAAGAAATAAAAGCCAGCATACCTGTGTGGACACTTTGTAAGCAACGTACGCATTCATTCCGTCTCCTGCAGGAACAAAAGAAGAAAACTTTTATAGTTTCAGCAAGCTGTAACAACCAGAACCCTTAGTGATTTGGGGTTAATGTTCTTTCTTTGTGGGCATCTGTGAGCACAGAGGAATCCATTGTCAATGACAGTTGCTCAATCTCTTCTGCTAACAACTTGGGGATTCTAAAATGATTCATGGTCTTGATCAACAGGATTGCCAGGATTTTATTCAGGCAATTACAGATATTTACTTCTTTAATCCCTCACCAACTCTGTATGGAATCTTTATGGTTTTTAGCCCGGTCTTTAATCACTACACCAAACTGGTTTTTTTCTCTAGGCAGCTTACATACATTAAAACCGTACTAAGAATCAAAATATGCTTGAAAACCTCAATACACATACCTTTATGTACACACACACTGAAGACAAATGGTTACTACAGGTAGTAGCTTGTTTAGTGACCGTTCAACGTTACAACAGCACTGAAGAAAAGTGACTATTTTTCACACTTATGACCACTGCGGTGTCCTCATGAGCACGTGATCAACATTCGGACACACGGCACTGGTTCATATTTATGACGGTTGCCGTATCCTGGGGGTGTGTGTGGATCACGTGATCCTCTTGTGTGACTTTCTGACAAGCAAAATCAATGTGGAAGCCAGATTCACTTAACAACTGTGTTACTAATTTAACAGCGGCAGTGATTCACTTGACAATCAGGGTAAGAAAAATCATAACACAGGACAAAAAAAGTCACTTGACAAAAATTCTCACTTAGCAACATAAAGCCTGGGCTGAATTGTGATCATACGTTGAGGACTACCTGTATTTACATGATTTCTTTTGCACAAGGGATGCCTACTAACATTGCTTCCATCACATCAATCCCAAAAGGAAGAGATTTGTAAAGCCAGGAGTCTGTGAAGAGGCTCCCTTCAGGGTGCCAAGCTCCGCTTCCTACAAATATCAGCCTGGTGCAATAATTAGGGACTTGTTACACAGGGTAGAAGGAGCCTTGCATACTGCCCCACGCTGAACAATTACATGGCTGTTAGAAAACTAAAGCAGCTGAAGAAAAAACAAAAACAAAAACCACACAACACACAGAAAGAGGAAGGGATGCCAAGAGTTGGCCAAGCGATTCCTTTGGGGCAGACAGCTTTCATTTGAGACAGCCACAAGCCTAAAGTAGAGCAGATAATATTCCCCAGGACCAGAGTTTCCCTGACATAACCCTGCATCCACAGATACTGTTTATGCAGCTGCAATTAAAGCTGTACCAAGAGCAATCAGGTTTTGCAGCAGCTGCTGCTGCTTCAAGGAGAATACACAAAAGTTTCCAAATGCAGATGGGTCCTTTTTCAGGCGGGCTTGGAAGCTCCCCTACCTGTCCCAAGATGCTGACAGCCTGGGAATCATCGGCTCCTGCGTGATTCATCAGCTCTCACCTGATCTATCTTTAATGTACATCAGCGTTTCTCAACCTTGCCCACTTTAAGATGTGCGGATTTCTGAGAGTTGAAGTCTGCACGTTAACCTTGCAACAGCTACAGTTCATAATGGCAAGGATCAGACTTGGACTGGGAAAGAGGAAATCAAAACTCCAGTCTTTAATGTCTTCCATGCGAGTCTGGGTCACCTGCTTTGAGCCTAATCCACTTCACAGAGGTAGGTGGAGGATAGGATGCTACTGATGGGGAATCTGAACTCACTGAAAAAAAAAATACTGATGTAGCAGGTGTCAAAGGCTCTAAAAAAAACAAACCTCAAGGTAGCAACGATGCTGAAGTCAGAAGGTGGATAGAATGCATTTAGTGAATTTAGTCCAACAGAGTTAAACCCTGCACGACGACGCTGTCAAACTATTTCCATTTCGTTGTGACTCACTCACCAATTTTCTCTGGATCACTCACTCCCACGGAAAGTTCAAACTGGTCTTCCTGCTCTTCCTCTTCCAACTAGGTAAGGAGGAGAGATTACACATAGGTCAGAAACTTTTCTTGAACCCAATTTAAGGTAGATATCAAGCGATGGGAAGCCAAGGCAGCTCAAATGAGTACAGGTTTATTGCATGATAAACGCTCTCTACAAGAATCTTAGCGACTAACAGTTGAAGCAGATTGGCGGTAGATAAGAGTCAATGGAATTCAAGGTGGGCCGGACTCAGATCTCCTGTGGGCACGAAGAGACTTGAGACTGATGACACGTTTGATCCCTCCCTCGGGCTCAGCCTGGTCTTCTCCTACAATAGGATACCCCATATTGGAAAGAGAGAGAGAGATAGGAAGACAGATGGAGACCAATCAGAAGCCTCAGCTCTCTCCAGGTTTTTTTCTCACTGCCCTTTGGGAAGCATCTTAGCTGCTGACTTTTTTTTAAGCATTTGTTCTACTTTTGTTTATGGGTGTTACGTGTACGCTGCTTTTCCTAGCAATTATATCCTGAAAGACAGGAGATAAAACAGAGCTGCAAAGCATAAATAAATAGTATTTACCTTTGCTCTGACTTGAGCTTATATTGCAAAGTTGAGGGGCAAAAGTCAAAATGTTAACAGGAAAGGGGAGACAAGAGCCTGCTCTACGCACAAAACTTCAACTTTTAAGAGT